TAGATATAGATATAGATAATTAGCAGATGAGTCCGGAGTTGCCTGAGTAAAAATAACATCATCAATTATTAAAATTATTTTGTACTTTTAATTCTTCTATTTTATTACATTGTACTATTTAGTTTATAGAACTACAAATGTTATCTTATGTAACGATTATTACATCGAGTGCTCAATCTAGCACATTTAAAAATTCTTTATTACTCTAGTGTACACAATTTAAAAATTTTTTTAAAGTGTAAGTTATATAAATCTTATACTATACCATAAAGAACATTAAAGGTTTTCAGACATCGCAGGGTAGTGTTTCGAGTAAACTCCAGTCCTTTTCTCCTGGGTGCCACTCTAAGTTATCACTTAAACCGTGTTCCAGATCATCTGCAAAAAACAGCTTTAAAACTTAAAAAATCGGTATACTTTGATAACTGCGTTACGAGTTGTCAGTCCAAGAAGGAGCTACTCGATTTTATGAGGCAGTCTAAAGAAATCATGCGTTTAGCATGCTTTGAATTAAGAGGTTGAGTATACAATGGTATACAAACAGAGATGTGACCGCTTTGCGACGACGTTGAAAGGACATTGGGAACTTTGGAAACCCAGCCCAATGAAATAGTGTGCTAAGATTGAATTGGACTATTTCAGAAGACGTGTTGTACTGTGATGCAAAATGAATTTCTAACCAAAAGAACGATGAATGTGTAGCGACGAATTTCTAACCAAAAAAGTGGTTTTGTCTTTCGCAAGTCAGCTTTTTCATTCAAACAGATTTCTTTCTCCAGTGTCGTTAATATTAAAACTTCTAACGCAAGAGGGTTGGAAAAGAAACTTGGCTTGGGACACCCCATTACCGCACGACTTAGAAAAATATTCTTAAGGTGGATAAAAGAATTAGATTTTAAAAGTCACAGAATATTGATAACTGTTCTTTTTTACACAGAACAATTAGAAACACATCTAATATAAAAAATTCTTTGAAATGTTGAGTTATTTATGTTCAAAGAATAAATTACATTTATACAGTATAGTTACAATTTGAAATAAGAAAATAATGAAATTGTTAAACAAGGTTGGTTAAGCAGTGTGCTGAGTTATGAAGTTAGAATAAACTTGTGAAAAATTGAAAAATAAGGTAATAGTTATACTTTTACAATAATCTTATGACTATTATACTACTGTAATAAAACAATATATATACATTTAGTTTAGAAAGCGTAGTCATAGCGTAAGTCGTACGATCAGTCAATATCAATGACTTTACTAAGTTAGCATTGGCATACCGAACCGACTAAAAATAACTTGTCGTATCTTCTGTATAGAAAGTACAATTTTAAATGCTTTTAGCACTTACATTTTTTTTCAGAAACTGTATTCTACGCCGAAAAGTAAACGTTTTTATCTTTTTATACTAATAATATACAAATGATTTGTTGTCAAGTGAAAAAAAAGAAATAAAGGATAAAAAGCTGCCCAGTTCTGAATGAATGCATTTTAAAGTGTTTGTGAAACAATCACATAAAACGACACGGTTTCAAATTAGTGTGAAAATTAATTTTGATGCTTATTCATAATACAGTAGATGACGCTATACACAACATCTTAGTTAACAGCGCTTGGCCATGTTAACTACAAAGTTGCAGAATTCTTAATGAAGTCTAGTTATTCTGAACGCATTATATCTATTTTTCACTCTTCTTACTGATAGAATTCTAACTAGTTCGTTTTGTCTATGCCAGGGGTCGCGAGCCGCATGCGGCTCTTTGCATAGACGTTTGCGGCTCTTTGAATATAAACTCCAATTTCATTTCACCTCATTTTACCGCAGCCTTATAACTTATGAGTTTATGAGATAGAGCCGCCGAACAAACTTCGGCGTCTCCGTCCGCACATGACCACACTCGCGTTGATCAATATGAGTCGCATAAGAGTGGTAGCATTTCAAGTATATCTATATATATATATAACACATTGAACGCGTGTCCGTCCATCCGTGTAACGTTATTCCAAAAACGGCCACTAGAGGCGCCTCTGTCGTTTGTCGTATTTCGCACATTTAAATTAATATACGGCTCTCTGGTACTTTTGTTACCCTGTTTTCATAACAGTTTTGCTGTTTTCACTTGACCAACTGCCGACCTCTGGTCTATGCTAATTGTTACTATTATTGAAGTCATTTTTTTGACTGACGTACGATTTATGCCAGTGGTTCTCAACCGGGGGTACATGTAGTTCTAGGGGCACGAGGGTAAATCGAAAGGGTACATCTAACTTTCATTATAAAATTGGAGTATGTTAATCAATGTTAATGAAATCCCAGATATGCTCGATGGGCGACATATCCGAGGAATAAGCAGGCCATGGAAGAAGCAAAACCTGTTGTGCACTGAAGAAGGCTTGTGCAGTCTGAGAAAGATGTGCACGGACATTATCCTGCTGAAATACAACACCCAGAATGCGTCAAAGAAGGGGGAGATCTATGGCTCTAAAATTTCCCGTATGTAGCGATCTCTGTTCAGGTTGCCCGCAATGTGCACTAGATGGGATCGACAATTATACCCAATAGCTCCACACACCATGATGCCAGGCGTTTATGCAGTATGACGCTGGATAACACATTGTAAGAGCAGACATTCCCCTCTGTAATGTCTGACGCGTACTCTTCCATCATTGTACTGCAGATTTGTTGGAAAAAACAACTTGTTGCCACTGGGCACGCCACGCGCTCTGTTGCTGAGCCCATTGAAATCGAAGGAGTCCGTGAATCAGCGAGTGGGGATTCCTGCGTAGAGGAATCCTTGCACGCAGTTCATGCTGCAACAAACGGTGACGAACCGTGGAGCTAAACAACAAAATAGCTGTAGCCGTGCTTCAACGTTATGCTAACACACGAGAGGACGCTGTACGGTCCATCACAGCCATGTGGATTAGGTGTCTGTCGTCCCGTACCATTGTGCTATTGCTTGCCCCACTGCCAGGTTTTCGCCTTATTTGGTTCTCCTCTGTCCATTTCTTCCAAACACGCATCACTGTTGTGGCATTACATCACGTGCGGGCTGCGGTTTTTCGATACAAATATCCACCCTCTCGTATATTGATGATGCGGCTCGTATGAACTCCGTTAGTTGTTGGTATGGCTTCCTCAGCTTTTGAGGAGGCATATTGACCACCAATGAAACATTTACCACAGACAGAGGAATATAAATTGATTTTAATGCATCTTTACATTATTTTATATACCTGAAACAAGTGGCTGATAAGGAGCTGGTTCTCGTTCCACGCTTGTGCAATCGCTTCTATTCATTTGCATGTTTTGCCTCGCTTTACATTTCTTGTAAGTTTGGTTCAATTCGCACAATTCCTTCATGGTGTTGCAATTTTCACAAACATGAGTGTATTTGTGTTATTGATTAAAACCCTATCGAGAAGAAACAGGTAGACTGTGTACTTTATTATTAAAATTTTCAGCACAATTATCTTGAGAATTTTAGCAGCTAGTAATAGTTTTGTCATGTCGGAAGAAAAAAATTTAATTTATTTATGCGAGTGTTTTATATCGTGGATTCACCGCTGCACAAAAATAACGTAGTTTTAAAAATAAATTTGATTTTCAATTCAAAAATTCCAAAACCACTTTTAAATGGTTTTTAAAAACATTGTTTTAATTTTGAATTGATTTGATTTCAGTTTTAATTAATTAATATTGATTTTAATATTTTTCTGTTGCATTAGTTCGTTTATATCTGTAAGGGTCAAATATGTGTTATTAAGGTGAAAAGTTTTTCATGATAATTAGTTGGAACGTTGGAACGCGTGGTACAATGAATGATTTTTCACATAGAAATTCAGCTAATGTGCTAAAGACGAATTGCTTTGGATAACATTTTATATTTTTAAACGAAAAATATTTAATGTTTTACAACACACGCGAAGCGACACTGTTATTGAGGGGACTAAGTATTGTCTAGAAAATCGCACTGCCGTCAACGGCTGGACATCTTAGAGGTATGGAAGAGTACATGGTAGGAATTGCAATTTGGCACAGAATATTTGGTTCCCAAATTATGCGCACATAAAAAATTCAGACTTGTAGGTAGTCGGGGGAACTAGAACCGAGTCAAAACAAATCAAAATAAACTACAAAACGGCGCCTGTTGCTACAAACAGGCGCTAGTGCAAAATTTGCGCACGCGTTGCTCGTTGAAAATTTCGAAATGCGAACGTTGCGAAAACGAAATTTGATAAACATGTGACTCACGTTACGCGTGTATTTACTTGCTCTCGTCGTTCCGCCATTTTGCGAAACGACGAGACTAACATTGAGACAATTCGGGAACAAATATTTTTCCACTTACCGTAGGCAAGAAGAGGCCCGTGACAACGCAAACCATCGTAACCACGGCGGCAACCACGCCCACCGTATTCTACGCCAGTACCCAGAGTACTGGTGTCGGCTTTTTCAGATTGGTTACTGCTCATTTCTCTCTTTTCCTTAGAAAACGGCACGCAGTCAGAATTGGGTTTCTGAGACATATTATCGTCTTAAAAGTGGCCTTGACGTTACACTTGTTTGCATTTTGGACACTCAATAACTGTCCATGTTTTGACTTTATCCTTGTGGAGACTGATAATTTTTGTAGTTCTAACAACCCGGATCAAAATATCAGTCAAATCTATTGGGACCCATTTTCCCCAAATGTTCGTGTGGATAAACTCTTTGTGAAAAAGTGTTGTTCCTTGCATTTGAATTATGTGACCGAGATCATTTTTCTGTTTTAATATGTGATACTGTATAAAGATTCGCGTTCTCTCACTTCTACTGAATTAACGAATTGCAAGCAATAAGACTCGCAATTACCTCGGAGTTCAGATTTCCCTCACATCCCTTTTCTACCGATCCATTGTTTCGTGTTGAAATTAAAAATTTGACTCTTCGGAAGGAATAACAACAAAAATTATAAAATTTAATTTAATTGTAAACAAATAAAAAAATAGTTTAATTATAATAAAATTTTATAAAACATTGAAGATACTTAGCATAAATTTTCAATTACGAGATGACATCATGTATTTGAAGTTATTCTTAATTAACATATGCACACGAAAATGTTGAATATTAAAACGTTCTAAAATTCTGTTCCTAAAACAAAAAAACAAAGAGAAAAATAATTTTTAATTACTGTAAAACAAATATTCTAAAATAATTGAGACAAATACTTTCTCGTATCTTGATGAACGGTTTCGTCTTTCGCTTTTTTTGCATCCTCGTCATTTACTTATTTCACGTCATTCTGAAAGACAACTTTCATTGCATCTTCCTTTACACATTTCTGAACGTCAATTTTGGTCTCCCATCAGAAACGTTTCGTGAAACGTGTGTTCAGGAACTGATATGTCATTATCAACATTGTAATTGAACAACCTATGATAAAAGCCACATTTTTTAAAATAAATATCAATAGAAAACTAAAATTTTTACGATAAAATCAAAAGTTCAAACTGTTAATACTTCGGAAATTTGTTAAAAGTTCTCACGATTAATGTTTATATTGATCAAATTCAAACTCTAAATATTTTTCTTGACTAGTAGCTGCGTGGATAAAACCACTGAACACTGGTAGTTTGTTTTGGGTTCGCGGCTGACCGACAAGATGGTCCCTTTCAAAAAGTTATAAAATACGTAGAACAGACTGAAATCTTTTTACTTTTTGTCATGTCCCATCACCATGAACAAGTGTCTTCCACTGGAGAGCGGACCTTTTACTATAAGCTGCGACACTGCAAAAATATGCAAAATAGTTTAAAATGTTCACCATCGACAACCCAATATTAAAATTACACAGTTTTTTTAAATGATAGCTTACGATTGGCCCCTATCTAACAAAAATCTAACCGAATCAATGACATATGTTATGAAGGCCCACTTAGTTCCCAAATCTTTTTCTTCCCTTACGCTTAACACACTGTAATAAGCCATCAATGCTTTTCTTTAGATTCCTAATGAGAAGGTCCTAGTAAATTCAATTATGTCAAATAGTAAAATAACGTTCACATAAATAGGATTGGAATAATAATATTAGGAAATGCCTCGGAGAAGACAAAGGAAAAATGGACCTTATAGAGGTGCTAAACACGCGAACAAAATGTAGAAAATTTCACTCGGAACATAGTGAAACACGAACACGCGACCAACCACCAGTTGTTTAGATGATTATATCCACTCGCCCATTAGTGAGCTTAAAAATCTACGAATTGTAAACAATTACTTAATACAAAACATTACGTGCTCTTCGATATCCAATCTACTTTTTCCATTTTATGAATGTAAATAGAACCCGTTTCACAACATTGCATCATCTCGTCTTCTGCGTTATCAAATAATTCGAAAAGTTGCTCAGGAAACTCGTCTTCAGAATGTAGCTCAATATCTAAAATATAGACCTAATCAGTTATTCAAATATAGTGGCTAAAAACAATTAATTGAACAGCTGATAAAATGCAAAGAGCCCAAGAAGATCAACAACGTGTAAAAATGCTAATCTTCTTGTAAAGATTGCTAAATACTTTACAATAGTTAGCTGTTGCGCCACCCTTCTTGTGCATCATATATTATACAAACAAAACTTACACTCTCCAAGAGCAAACCGGAGCTTCAGAGCTTGAAATTTACTTTTGTCTATTTTCAGAATTTTGCATCTCATCACAAACAATAAAATTGCTTTAGCAACGCCTTTGATTGGAGAAAAAGCACATTGATTGGGATGGAAAAAACAAGAATGCAGCCATAACCCTTCGTGAGCAATCAAGGATCTCTCCGTTATTTGCAATATTGCTCCACGATAGGCGGTCTCATCTCTTATACACTTCTAGAATTTAATAAATTACAATAATAGTAAAACAATTATATTATTTAAATACGTTGAATATAAGATTAGTCTTACTTGTAATTCTGTAGGCAACGTTGGATATTTAGTGAATAGTCGAAGCCATTTGTAGTAGTGCTGCTCCATCAACGTTACACAATTTGCAAACATCCTAAAATACAGATCGAATTCCGCAGCTTCAACTACCTGAAAATTGTAATTAGACAATATAAAATTGTTAGAAAGTTTATAGTGAAATCGACATACGCCATATTTAAGGAAATATTAAAATTGATACCGTAAGGGGTGGCGATATCATTGCCGTATAGTTCACGTCGTAATTATGTCCAATCACTAAGTAACGGTAAAAAAAAGTAATAAAATTAGTGTTAACTGACTTTTGGTCTACTCCTTAAAGTACATTCTACAAAACATTCCTTTACATTTTAGAAATTTATGTAATATATTCTATTAAATAAATTTATTTACATTGAACTCTCGAACAATCCATTCCCATATTGTAGCATCTACTCATTCTGCAAAACAGGCATCTTATACGTGACACTCGGCACATTCCTCCACTGTCGCAGACGGGAAATTGATTTGTGTTAATTGTCCATTCGAAAAGATGATTACAGGAATCACAAACTTTGCAACCGAAATGATCTGATAGGCGGGCAAATGCGGTACAAGTTGGGCATTCTGCAGAATAATCATATTACTTTACGTTATATAAAATAGAAATTACTTGCTACAGTAGAAAACGACTTACCAGACCATTCTTGATCATCCATTATTCTTGAAAAAATTATTGATAATTTAAGGTAAAATACGTGTTAAAATATAAGTTTATTGTTAAAATATATTGCAGAACTGCAGAAGTACGATTGCAGTTGTTTTCAACTTTAGTCAAGTAACGTTGCTGCCTCATTTGCATAAGCATACAAGGAATTAATAAAAAAATACATTTTGATTCATTTACAATATTTTTATTTTTTAAGAGTGTAAATTATTATTAAATCAATTATTTTATTTAAACTGAAAATTTATAGTTACAGCTAGGTACATTCTTTCCATATTTATGGATTTTAAAAGTAGACGGTCACCATAAATTCAGTTAACCGAAATGCAAAGAGTCAGTTTATTCGGTTAACTAACTTTTAGACTATCCAGTTGCAAATGTAATCCAAGACATTAAATATAGAGCAAAAATATTTTATGAAGGTAGAGGGTGGTCAGAAAATCTACAAAATTCCTATGCACGAGATTGTGTCCTGACTTTTTCAATTAAAAAATATATCGACGACAATGTCTGCGAAATGTAAATTGGATATAAATCTCGGGTATTATATGACTTCCTGGAAATTTGGACTTTTCAACATACTGTATGACAGTAGACTTGGGAATGTGCATAGAAATTTGATATACAGAAGAGCATGAGGAAAAATTACAAATGATGAAAAATATGGTAAGATTTGTATACACTCTTCCATTTGTGATGCCAGTAACATTATCACAATATGAATACCTTATTACACCTTCAACTTGGAGTCTGTGACTTTCTCTACGAAATGAGCTTTTGGATCTCGGTGGTGGTACCTTTCTCGTATATTTTACAAGAACCGTCATCCCAAATATTTATATTGTACACCTGTATGAAATACGTTATTTCTGCATGCTAAATTTTTGTGATGTTATAACGTTAACATTGTGTGTTTAGTATTGAAATTGGAACTTCGGAAATAATGGCTACTTGATTTATGATGGCACTCTAAAACTAAGAAAATAACCATTCGAGTGTTGCCCTACTTACTTGGAAATCTGTTTTTCAAGTCCAGAATCTTACTCAATACGTGTTACGACATCCTTTTTTGAGTCTCATCCATGCTGGTCAATTTTTCAGGTTCTCCGATAATATGTTCGGCAATAGTTTACAATGAACTGGTATTGATCGCTAGTCACTGACTCGTGGCCGAGTGGATAAAACCACTGAATACTTGTATTTAGTTGTGGGTCTATGCCTCATTAACAGGTGAAGTTTTTCAGATTTCTTCATGTGCTTAAATTAACACATAAACAAAGACCAGGTTTACGCACCGTTGGCAACGTGCAGTTTTCTTCATGTGCTTGAAACATAAACAAAACATTTAATTTTTCTTAATTAAAAGTTCCTCCCGTTGGCGGATTGCATATGTGTTGAATAGCCTTATATGATGATTTTTATGAGATGTTTCTTTTGTTTATAAAGCTGTATTTTTCTTTGGTAGAAAATAAAAGACACTTTCATGTTTACTTTTTTCTAAAATAAGAAGAAAAACACAAGAAAAGTGTTAATTTGTAATAAAATGCACTTTACGAATTTTTATTCATAAATTTATTTGTCACGCTACAAGTCCAAAATCTTAGAAAGTAACAAATTTGTTGCTAACAGTAAATACCTATCAGCTTAATTACCAGATGCCATAAAATCTGCGATACTAAAAGAAAGGCAAAGTAGCTACGTCATTGCAATATATTTTTGTTCTTAAATTGCATTCACCATCACATTATTTAAGTATGAGTTTTTTGCTGCTGAAAAGAGTATCAAGATACGCGAGTTCTTGCTAATCTGGCTCCCTTAAAAATCCGGCATATCTTCCAGTGTGATTACTTATGCCTACATTCTATTTCTCTGTATATAGTACTCTGGATAATGCATACAGTATTGCGTGTCAGGGAGCCGTATTGTTTTCCCATCTGTCTTCAATCAGAATAAATACTTAAGGGCAACAGGTTACGTAATTCATTGTTTTTAGGCACGATTTAAGCTTACGCATCTCGTAATCCGGCGCCTATCTGTACAAGAAATGATCGACTTAGCGGGGTCTACTGTAATTCTCTTCTTTTATACTCAAGCCGGAAATGAGGTCTGGAGAGTGAGGGATGGAACATGTGTTATACATATATTCCACATTGTGTAGAAAATATCGTTCGGGTGCCGAAAACTGGATCCTTGTAGAATGAAGAGCATGGTAATCTTTTCGTCCGTCTGTCATTGTGTAGATACGTTAATGATTTGTATCTCAGGATATTGAACCGTCACGTGCCTCACGTTAATTGTCCTTAATATTTCGTCATGATGAAAGAAATGTAACAATTTATATGTCTGAAATAACGGCGCATTCAGTTTTTAAGAAAATTAGAAATTAATTCATTACAAATTATCAAGTGTTTGGCGTTGTCGCTTTGCGGTGTGCAGCACTGATGTATATATTTATATTTATTGTTGTTTGCAATACAACACAATAAAAATACATAATAGGAAAATAAAAGTGGAAGATCTGCCAGGGAGAATGCTTTCTATGGGATAGTGGTCCATATTTATATGTTAGCACGTGAAGAAAGCCCAGTAATCTTCACGTGATCAACTCGTTGTTGAGGCGTGAATTCCCGACCAGCGCTCAGTGGTTTCATCTACACGGCCCCCAAATAACAAATCGAGAATATTTATTGCGCTTTAGTAAATGCATATTTATGTATATTATAATATTGTCTTTTATTAAAGAGACATGGAAACTTCATTAGAAATTCTGTAGATGAGTGCCCATTTCATAAACCACGACCTTCTATTATTTAAATATTGCAAATCATTTAAAATGCCCAAACTATATCACTTTTGTTCTTTATATGTATAATGTCATCATCCTTTCTACAATTCATGCAAACATTTTATAAATGCTTGCTTATTTTTATGACTTAATACGATTTGTTTCATACATATAGAAAATGTTGCACGTTTATACATTTTATTTTTAAAACCCTGTCCATTTCCGTATTTTCACTATTGACTGATGAATGATCACTGATGATGACTAAAGATAACTGATGAAAACTTGCCACGTGTCTTCGTTTATGCATTTATTTAATAAAAAATTAAAATAAATAATATAATTATTCCTGCATGATGAAGATATTCTATAGGATAGATGAATATAATTGTTGCTCGGGGAGGTATATTTATTTTCTTTCATGGTTAATTTCCGGCCGTAGCATTATTCCCTTCTTTTACTTTGGTGGTCGATCTTAAATTTAAGGGTTTGATTAGAGCCTCATGTTATCGAAGAATGTTAATTTTGGGGGAGGGCATATTGTGAAGTCTATTATGTCGCTTCATCATGTATACCACATAAATAAAACTGATTAGATTGGTATAAGCAGTATTACTTATTAATTATCATGCTACTGAATATTTTTTGCTAATCTGAGGTTTCTTACATGCAAATTCGATATTTTACCGATNCCCCCAAATAACAAATCGAGAATATTTATTGCGCTTTAGTAAATGCATATTCATGTATATTATAATATTATCTTTTATTAAAGAGACATGGGAACTTCATTAGAAATTCTGTAGATGAGTGCCCATTTCATAAACCACGACCTTCTATTATTTAAATATTGCAAATCATTTAAAATGCCCAAACTATACCACTTTTGTTCTTTATATGTATAATGTCATCATCCTTTCTACAATTCATGGAAACATTTTATAAAAGCTTGCTTATATTTATGACTTAATACGATTTGTTTCATACATATACACGTTTATACATTTTATTTTTGAAACCCTGTCCTTTTCCGTATTTTCACTATTGACTGATGAATGATCACTGATGATGACTAAAGATAACTGATAAAAACTTGCCACGTGTCTTCGTTTATACATTTATTTAATAAAAAATTAAAATAAATAATATAATAATTCCTGCATAGTGAAGATATTCTATAGGATAGATGAACATAATTGTTGCTCGGGGAGGTATATTTATTTTCTTTCATGGTTAATTTCCGGCTGTAGCATTATTCCCTTCTTTTACTTTGATGGTCAATCTTAAATTTTAAGGTTTGATTAGAGCCTCATGTTAACGAAGAATGTTAATTTTGGGGGAGAGTATATTGTGAAGTCTATTATGACGCCTCGTCATGTATACCACATAAATAATACTGCTTAGATTGGTATAAGCAGTATTACTTATTAATTATCATGCTACAGAATATTTTTTGCTAATCTGAGGTTTCTTACATGCAAATTCGATATTTTACCGATGATACTACAAAAAAAATCTTTTTAAACTAAAGATTTCTTAAAATTGTTGATGTCTTTTCTGAGATAAAATGATAATTCTGAAAGAAAAACATTCTTTCATAATCCTTTTCCTCTTATGTATGGACGATTAATTGGATAAAACAAAACAACAACGTGGGCGATCTGCCGAAGAGGGTGCCTTTCGCAACATTTCTCAATTATGGTGTTAGACACGTGAACGAACTCCGGAAAATTAACTAGATGCAACTACAGTGTTCAGTGATTTTATCCACTCGGCCACTGGTGGGTTTGAATAGAATAAGAATTACTTTAACGTTTTGGATTAAGGACCTCGGTATACGGGATGGATTAATTGCCAACCACATCGAGGTCAAGCGTAGAAGTAACATATATCACTGCATTTTCTAGTCTTTTATTTTTAATTTTCAGCAATGAATCAATTTCCCAATTGATTAAATATTCCAAACTCTAAATTAAATTAATTAAACATAATTTGAAAAATATAAGATTATAGTAAACTCTTGTTGCATTGTAGGAAACTTTCAACGTATGCAGCAATTCTGTATAGTTTTATTATTGTTTACCTGCAGTTAAGTGAATATAGTGAATCATTTAGAAAATATTTTGAAAATTCGTTTCATGGAGAGTCCGTTGTTTTAACCTCTTGTTTAAAGTAAACACTCAACCATGACGTTAAACTTTTAAGTACAGATATAATGATTTAGCAGTTTTAAATTTTAAAAATATTTTATTTTATTTTCATAAGATTAAATTAAAAATATAACTCGTTAAAATTATTAATTAATTTTTTAATTTAATTAACGTTATAAATATATTGTTAAATTGGATCTTATTCATATAATACTGTTCAGAATTGGGAACATTTTAGTTGTTTATTTTCGTTAAAATGGAAGTAACAGATGAATATAAGAGACATGTTTTATACTTTTTATTTTTAAGTGATGAGAATGCTACAAATGCAGCCAAAAAATTAAATACTGCTTATAATCAAACTGTAACAAGTGTAAGGACTGCGCAGAAGTGGTTTGAAAGATTTAGAAATAATGATTTTAGTGTGGAGGATAAGGCTCGTACTGGAAGACCCGTTGACTTTGATGATGATGCTCTCTCTGCACTAGTTGAAGCAGAACCATCTTTAACAGTTGATGAAATTGCGGAACGTTTAAATTCATCCCATGGAACTGTTCATAGACATCTACAACAAATCGGAAAAGTTTCAAAGCTAGGAAAATGGATACCACATGAACTGTCAATAGCTAACTGACAACAACGTCAACTGCTCAACTCCAAAGCTTCAACTGGGAAATTTTACCTCATCCACCATATTTGCCAGATATTGCTCCCAGTGATTATCATCTTTTTCGGAGTTTGCAGAATTTTTTAAAAGGAAAAACTTTTGAGGATGAGAACAATGTAAAAAAGGCTATTTCTGAATATTTTGATTCAAAACCGAAATCATTTTACAAAGACGGGATTAAAAAGCTACCATCAAGATGGCAAGAAATTGTACAAAATAATGGTGAATACATTATAGATTGAAATAAGATTTAATTAAAATTTTTTGTTGCTTTTTTTGTAGATAAAAATGCGCACAAACTTATGGACTGACCTGATATTTCCTCCAAAGAAAATGGGAACGCGTAAATCAATAGTGAAATTTTGTAAATTATTATGAAAATTCTCAAAAATAACATCATTAGGACGTATATTTTGTTAATTAAATAATATATAATATTTAAAATATAATAAATTATGAAGGTGAAAAACTTAAAAACTAATGAGTAATAATGACTTGTTTCTTCACTACCCAACTTGCAAATTTCTTGCACAAAGTGAAAAAAATGGCTTCTATAAGGATCAGTTAACTTCTTCTCCATTTTTTTCACATAAATGTAAAGAAAAATACAGTTTTTTATGGATTATCCTGGACCTGCATCTTCACTCACACGTAAGTACGCAAACAATATTAATTATTTTTAATTAATTACACTTCGAAGTTGAATTTCTTTGAAATTTTCAGGTTTCGTTAAGAAATGTTCCATATGCGAAATTACTATTAGTATCGATAACTCATACGGAACGTGGGGGTGTCAGAAATGTAAAGAGTTCTTTGCAGAATGTGTTACGAAGAACGTAACGGCATTCTGTTATGTGAATGGCGAATGTAATCTAAGTCCAAACTATGACTGTACATTTTGCAGGTTAAACAAATGTTACGATGCTGGAATGAAAGCCGAATTTGTTGAGCGTAAGATTTTAATTGGTTATTTTATATAACTTAATCTATAAAATATTAATTGAAAATCTTGCAGATTATTCACCGAAACGGTGGGATGAAAATCCGGAGGATAGTACACGTGTTCAGGTACTTAATAATGATCAAAGCATTTTTGTCTGTAATTAGAGAGTGAATGTACGATTTATATCACTGAAAAAAGAAAAAAAAATTATTTTCTTTAGTGTTTGAAAAAGAGATTTTATGCACAAAGTCGCAGAATTGTCGAAGATTTTACGGAAAGTTCTCGTTACATGGAACAAAGTTATTACAAATGGCTGTTTTCACTCGACAAATTTAATGAACTTCCAAGTGCAAGCCAAGTAAATAGAAAGAATAATTTTTTTTATTTTTAATTTTATATTACTTACCATAAAGAAATAACGTTTAGTTACATTATTTTCAGGATAAGCTACTGGTAAGAACATTATTAAAAGGAACAGTATTAGAATATATACAACGTTCTCTTCATGTTCACGATGTTATACGTTCCATTAGATGTTTCTTTAGACCAAGAGATTGTTGCGTTCCATTAGTTAAACAATTTGGAGAGAGTATTCTCGATTTCACTCAACTCTTCCGTTATGTTGCAGTTGACGAAAAATCGTTTTTTAGATTTAAAATCAAGTTATCGATGGGATTGGGTACGTATTACAGGCGTGTATCCTAAAAATCTGCTCAAATTTCAATAGAGATTTCGGTAATTTCGAATAATTGAATATGCACAAGATATCAAACGTTCTTTCTTCAATGATCTCAATTCCATTTAAAGAAAAGTTTTATTTTAAAGCTGAAAGAATTAAATGGATTCGATGGAAAAAATTTGATCGTCAGATTTTATTTCGAAAATCGAGAAAATGATAAATCATATACAGGTAAATATTTCTGGGCAGATGGGAATTGCACCAGTGCATAGTGTACAGTATCTTTTCAAGGAGGAAGCAAGAGGAACGTACAGAGAAAATAATGGGAAATGATAGAAATGACTAAAAGGAAGAGGAACTAATTGGATAAAGGCATCTTTGGAAATGTTTGAAAATCGATTAGAAAATTGAAAGTTTAAAATTTCGCACTGTTCGCTGTCAAGTAAATTCAAGAAACGAACGCCTGTTTTACCGTAAAATACACGACGAAACAACACGTACTCAGAATAACTTTCTACAGAAGCTGCGTGATGGAGTCTGGATGGTGTCGAACAATCTCAATTTGGTTATGGACGACGAATTTTATTTCACTTTTAAAGAAAACGAATGCTCAGGTAACAATCATTATTTTACCGAGAAAGAGCAAGATGTGGATCCTGAAAAAAAAATTGGAACGATACTTCATGTTTTCGCCGAAGCAACTGGTTTGACTGGAAATCAGTTCAAAGGAACGTTCACAGCTCTTCCCTGCTCCATCATCATAAAGAAGGAAAAACGCATTCAGAAAGAGACTAGTACCCTTCCCGAAAAATACTACTCTAACCGAGGATATATCTTCTGAACACACTTGCCCATTATGCTTGCGACACAATTTCCAAATTCCACCATTACGGAATTCGATGTTAAAGACAACGTTCCAGAAGTTCCTCGATTAAGACAATAGAGAGTTTGGTACCAACCGAAGCAAAAAGTTTATGAAAATGTTTGGGAAACTGGATCCACGAAGGAGTTCGAGAACAGAATCGAGACCAAACTTTTCTACTTCAAAGCTTCAAGTTAGTGGAAGCAATTATGACTAAAGTTCATAGTCCAACCTATCGCGATTCCGATCGTCTCGTTTGAGCGTTAAACAACTTATCTGCACCCCAAAACCCTAGGTTTAAATAATGATTTTTAAACAACATTGAAATTTGTGTAGATTTTTAAGATACAGGCCCTTATTTGAAAAATATTATAAGAGTTTTATAAGTGAAAATTATTAAAGTTAGAAGAACCTATTTTAAATCGATTATCATCCGTGTTATGTTGTTTTTTTTATAGTAATGAATAATTTGTCAATTTTTATCGTCTTAACCAATTTTACTCTTCTTTGGCATTATTTTATACATTTCTTTTAAAATTATTGTCTTAACTGTATCCACCTCCCCAGAGGGAAACCGTGGAAACGATTCACGCTTCTATCAAATATGAATGTTTACAAAGCAATCGCACTCAAGATGGACCCTTTCTTCTGCCATCTAAATATTTCAATACATGTCTTACCATAACGCTTCTAACATATGGCGGTTTGCGGCATCGTGAAACCTCAATCTAGACAACAAAACAATTAATAATTTAAAAATAATTTTTGATTTTTTATTATTAGTGCATTCACCTTACATTATAAACAATCATCAAATAATAAAATCATTTATTTTTACCTTTTAAACGCGTTAATTGTCCTCAGTACTAAAATATATATGAAACACTAATAAATAATGTTTTATTATTGTCCGACGCTATAAAGCACTTTTTATTAGTTATTTTGGTCGTCAAGTTAATGCTATTTATAGGCAATCGAACCTCGATGTAGCACTCTTTTAACTAATTCCATCTTCGTAAAGTGCTGGTGAACAATTCTGAATGAAAATTCTCATAAATGTGTTCAATGTGTGTGAATTGCTAATGCAATTTCGCTTTGAGAACAACATTCTTATCACCATATCACATAATTTTCCAACTAATATTTGTATGGACTTCATTCTTATTGTATGAGGTATAGGATTTATCACCACGCTAGAATTTTCTGAGGCAATTGCTCACCAGTGCCCGAAAAGAAATAACAATTGAACACTTATAGATAAACGTTCGGGATCACCAACGACTGTCCACGTAGAGATCTCTGATTTTCTTTACGTGTATTACTCTTAAATAGGGGTAAGTTTCTCATAGAAAGTCCCCGGACATTCCTCTTGGCATACGGTTGCCTTGATGTAACCCACCGATATGAACCAATTTTTTATGACACTACATTTTCTTCATTATTAACAATTCAAAATATGAACATATTGTATTTGTCGACTTTAGCATTGGAGAAACATATAAGATTTAGTATCAACGAATCTCTATCCAGTATAATATTTAAGTAAAAATCATACTCTCATCCATCTCCTTAATATAACTAATAATAAATTTTTAAGATTGCCGAAATTTTAAAAATTAAAATACATTTCCTATTCAGCTAATTATTTTTGTTTCGTTATCTTTAATTTATAAAGAAATTTAACTCGACGATTAAGTGTTTAAGTTATTAGTTGTAAAGGCTCTATGCAGTGAAAAAGATCTAATTAAAAATGTAACCAATCGCTAAATTTACATCATTTATTAACTTCATATTTAGCTTAATAAGATCTTATTGCATATTATATCGTTTCCATAAACTGTTATTCTGTAAAATGTGTTTTAATAGGTCCTTAGTATTGCACTCAAGCATTCTCTGAGAGGCCTGACTTAACTCCTGCAAAGGACTATTCTGAAACTTCTGCTTTTTATGCTATTTTCCATGTTTATTTTCATTCTACACGTTTATATTAACATATTTGAACCCTAACATGTTTATATTCACAAACATATTTATGCAACATTAGACAGTTTTATATTTATTTATTCCAGTTTAAAGTGAATATATATTCAAAATTATCCTAGCTTGATATTTCTGTCTTTATTTCTTACAGATATCAGGTTATAAAGGTGAAATTTAGACATTTCTAGAAACCACTGGAAAAGAAATGATGTAGGACGTTCGATTTAGAGATATAAATAGAGTAACAAAGGGGCGTTTGAGAACATATTTTATTGCAAATTGACGCGTCAGCAATGTCTGAAAATATAAAACTTTAGAAAGAACATATTCGCATGCTGTTGCTCTATCACTTCAAAAGTGGTTACGACATAACGAAAACTCACGATTTAATCCGAAAAGCGTTTATAAAAGCTTTCTTGATTAAGGAAATGTGAAACAGAAAATGTCAAAGATCCGATAGTGCAGAAAAAAAACGATGATCTACGAATGTTTGGCGTCATCACGATGGAGCTACTTCCAACCAACATCATTGTCAAGAAAGAGTTGTACTGTGAACAACTAGAGAATTTGAAAATCAAGACCAAGGAACTTCGTCCAAAAGTTGGCAAAGTCCGAGACCTCTACGACAACGTGTCGGCGCATAGAGCAAAGAAGATATTAGAAAAGCTGACCAGTCTAGGCTAGGAGGTTCTACCTGATCTACCTTACAGCCCAGATTTGAGCCAACTGATTACCATTTATTTTGCGCCCTGCAGAATCGTATTGTCAATATACTTTAATGACATTACACGTGTGAGAACGAGGTTCGAGAGTTTCTTCAACGAAAACTCCCAGTCATTCTATGCTCATGAGATTGAAAGTTGGCGAGCAAAGATGGCGAGATGTAATTGATATTAATGGTTATTACCTACAACACTGATCAGAAATCGTTGTACAGATAATTGCCAATAAAATACTTTTATCATAATTTCTAAATTTCACCTTTACAACCTGATATATGGACATTAATAATATGCAAAATTACAGAATCTTTCTCAATAAGCTTTTGTATATATAATTATAGTAAAATATTATAATTTATACACTAGAATGATGTATAATTTTGATAAGATAACGAGGAAATTTGCAATTTTGTTTCCAAACAATTAAATTTCACAAAATGCAATTTCACGTAAATTATATGTTGACACTTCGTATTAATGTATTTTAAAAAAATCATTAAAAATTAATTTCTAATTGAATTTAATGTGTTTTATAGATGTAAGCATTAGCGAAAATATACCGACAGAACTGTTTCAAGAAAAAATAGAAAGAATGGAATATATATTATTAAATTGCCACAAATTTGGCTACGCAAAACTCTTCAATGATGTAGACGTTTACTATATCAGCTCGTTAAGGTATGTATAATTAAGGCAAAATTAACAAATTATAAGACAGTAAGCCTGTAAATTTTAAAATTTATTAAAACTGTTACAGAAAAAACTCAAATTATTCATTTGCAAGAGACGAAACTTTTTTTAAAATTTCAGTAAGAGAGACATTGAGTACGGAATTTTCGGACGATGCCTCAGTGAAATCAAATGATCACGGATCTATCATCGAAGATGATACTTTAAAAAAACATAAAAAATCAATTTTCAAAAGAAATTCAATGGAAGATGTATCCAAAATAGTAGCAGACCCAAACAAGCAAATATGTGTATTTAGGAAAAACTTAGATAATGCTGATGTATCCAAAATATTATCTTGTAGAAGAGGGACCGGATATAATATTCGTAATGTGGTTAATAAAAAGGTAACATTTTCAGACGATGTGTCGATAACTGAAATATCTTCGAAATCTATATCTATTGAAAAATCCTCAGGAAAATCATCTTTTCCAGATATAGAGAGGCAAAGGAATACAAAATATATTCAACCTGAAACAAGAAAAGAACTTGCAAAGGATACAGAGTACGAAGGAATAGCTTTAAGATTGAAAAGTTTTGTGAAAAACTCAAACAATCAAATATGTAATACAGGAAATTTAATAGAAATGACGTCATTAGAACATATTGGAGTGTATGCAAACAATACGGCGGATAGTAAGACAAACGACAAATCAATCTCACGATTTCCTGTTAAATTGAGAATAAAGACAAATTTATATAAAAGTATTTCGAAGTGAATTGTACCGAATTTTAAATATAAAAATATTCGAATTAACTTTTCCTATAATTTAAGAACACTTTATTTTTATATATTGATTTGACACTTTTGTCCTTTAAAGGAATGATATGTTAGAATATTTTAAAAGTATTTTTATTGTTTGAAAATGTACAATTTAAAATAACACTATGTTTCCTAATAAAGTGTAACATCGCAAAAATGGTTCGAACGTGTATTACTTAATTAGAATTAATTCATTGATAATGTATTATTAAATGCAAACATGAGTCAATGGTCAATTGGATAACACTACCGAACACTGGTAGTTAGTTGTGAGTTGGCTGGTACATGAAGTTTTGCAGTTTTCATTTCACTTTTAACATCAAATATGGGCCAGTTTCTTAAGGACTATAGAAAGTCCTCCAGGAAGCATCCCCATGGTGGATTACACACACATATTGTCTCATTTCATGAAATCATTATACCAGCAAGTTGAGGCATTTATTGCCTTTATGAAATTATTGTTTTAATTATTAATTTAAGACTTATAAAGTGAGGTGTACTGTTTAATTCTGTTGTTTTTAAACTACTTAGGTAGAAGAACCTGCGTTTCGCTACGAAGATATTGTTCGCTATGGCAAGTGTCTGTTTAATTTATATTCATTAAAACATTTCTTTTTTGCTTACATTACACGGAAGTTTTTAAATATGTTTTGTAAAACAATATGTATAATCCGAAATGGCTGAAAATATCCGAATTTACAGGTGTAACTAGGAAGTAAAGGTAGTTGCAAGACATGTAAAACGTTAGTTAGACAGCCGGATTGCCCAGAAGTGATAAAGATGTCACCTACCGCTCTGAGATTAACACCAAAATTTCTTTCAAAGGTAATTCTTTTCCAATATGGTGAGTTCGTAATCCGGCCAAATTCATGGTGGCCTTGTTGAAAGGCCTTCTTAGTGCCCAAAGGACGAAAACCGTAAAAATTGCAATAAATAAATAAAAAACTTTGTACGATATGAGCAAGAAGGGAATACAAATAATTTAAAATTTTGCCATAGAAAGTCCTTACGAGAAACACTAATCGCCCACGTGTTGAGTTGGTTATTTTTCGTCAATCGAATTTTATGTCCATTTTCTTTTCTAGAACGGTTTTAATAATTTTAACTTTGTATCAACCATAAATATCATATAATTGATGTTAATATCATAGGCTAATTATCGGCTACCAAACGAAAAATTCTACTTAAGTGCATTTTGCATGTTTCTTACATTGTTTATTGGCGCTGAACTATTGGTCGTGTAAGTGATTGGTATATTTAAAGATCCTTATGCTATTAATTTTTAAGCATTTAATCAATTTTAAATCACTTGTAAAACTCGTTTTTAGATTGAAAAAAATGTCTAAAGATTATGAAAATTACGAGCAACTGTTTTGGGAATGCATGATTTACCTGGAACAATGTTTCTACAAATGGTTATCATTCTTACCACAATACCAGATATTGAAGGATAACGAAAAAGTAGGTTTGAATGTCTGTTTAATATATTTTTATAAATATTTTAAAAGTATAAATATAGAAGTATTGAAAATTATTATTTGATTAACGCTCAGAATTAATGGGTGGAATTTAATTCCTGTACTAGAAATAAGGAAAGGAATTAAGTTTCGGTGTTAAATGCATAGATTTTGTATTTACACGACAGTCATAAAATTAATTGTTAACTGTCCGTTAATTTGCATAAATATGTCGTAAAATAAATTAACATACTTTAAAGCAAATTTAATTAGTTTTTGTTTTATGCAGATTCGAATAAAACAAAAATATTTCAGACGGGGTACAATCATGGAAATGGTAGAGAGATCACTACCAGTTCACGACGTTTTAAGACTGCATAAAGCATTTTTCGATCCTTTTAGTTACGTTAATGGTGATTTTGTGGAATTCTCACAAAAGATCTTGCAGTTTACCATAGAATTAAGACATTTTATTATATCAGATGAACATTTTCAAGTTGTCAAACTACAGTTGATATTTAAAGGTAAGAATCAACTTTAAACTTTGTAGAAATTTTATATTCCATGTTAAAACTTAAGCGTTTGTGTTGTCAGATGGAATTATAGGAGATGGAAAAGCAAAATTAACAATGAATTATATGGACATGCTTGAAGAACTGGAAGAACTGATGATATACTACGAACATGATCATCATAAATCACTTAACAAGACTGAAAAAGAAGAACTTATGCAATATCATTTGTAAGTATGAGCTTTCGTCTTGGTGCAACGACTTAAGAAATAATTTATTCTGTATACTTTCAGGGTATCGAATTACAGTAAACCTTCCCTCAATAGAGATTTCTTATCACTCGATATATTTCTATCGGGATAAGAGTAATTTCTTTTATATAGAATAATACTCTCAATGTTGAAGTATATATTGTTCAGTTGAATGTTTAATAAATTGTATTAATATAAATCACTTTAAAGCAAGTTTTTTTCCTGCTATGTTTAGTTGGCAACATATTCTGAGAAATTTATTAAAGATATTTTATTGAAATAATTTCATTTTGGTTCAAAATAAAGAAATAATTCTGTAAACTCTCTTGTTATACGTTTATTTTATAATTTGCTATCAAAGAAGTTTATAATGACGATTAAGGTTATTAGCAATTCTTAGTGTCACATGAAAGCAGACAGTTCGTTGGATTCAAACTGTCAAAGAACATTTTATGTAGGGGAGTAAGCTGCTAACCACGATTTTATAGCAAGTGACTCTGGATAATTCAAGATGTAGTAAGTTTATTATTTTTAAGACTTTTAACAGTTCCTGATATAATTAAATTAAGATTAAATCACAAAATAATTGCAGAAACAGCAGCAAATGTATACCTTTCACTAAGTATTTACTTGTTATAATAAAACCTCTAATACAAAGTGTGTTGTTGTTTTCGAGTTGTGAATAGCAACACAAACATTGATAATGTCAAGTGACGTGAACTTGTTTGGTGTACTGTCTAGCGCCGTATTTAGCACTGGAACTAGGCACTGGTGTCTGAACACGCTTTGCTCTAGTTTACAGTTATGGGTAGCAATACGAATGTGTTAAAAATGTCGCGTGATGCGAACTTCTTTAGTAAAACACTACACTAGGTACCTCGTTTCGTTTGGTGTCATTCCCTGATACTTTGAGGGATACTTCTTAATTATTTATTTATTTTTAATTAATATATTTATTAAGTGTTTTATTGATTGTGATGCGTTGTATAAAGGCAATACGTTTTATAAATTACACGACTAACTACTGCAAATTTTATTATATTTATCGTGTTTCTAGATTTAATTTTAAAATTTTAAATGCATCCATTAGAGGAATAATTTATAAAATGTTTTGTTTAAAAGGTAAAATCTGTTTAAGAATTCTACAAAAACATTTTAACTTTTAAAAATGGAAAAAAATCAATAAATAAAAATTCTGAGTCTATAAAAGCTAGAGTAACACGAATATCCACTAACAGTTGTAAGTCTAGCTGGAATATAAATGATCATATAAACAATGATTGCTCCCTTTTTTCTTACCTTTGCTGCACTCTGTCAAGGGTAAAGTATTAATTTTATACATTTCTCTCATTTTGTTAATCATACAATTTATCACCATCATTCATTTTATCATCGATAAGTAGATCTATTATTATTGTGTTAATAGTCATTTATATAACAAATACTGATAGTGGTTTGAGCCTGTCTTACAGTACATAACTGTAAATTCTTGCATAATTTAATTCATAATTAATGTTTCCGAGCCTTTTACTGTCAATATAACCCTTTTCACATTAAAAATTACACTATATTTTTATACTTAAGCATACAATTTTACTGTAAGCGTGTTCACCGTTGACCAATTTAACGTGTTAATCATGGAACAATGTTGTGTGATCGATATTAAAATTTAAATTATTTATAATAATAGTGTGGATAATCACTCATTATAGTAAAATCCAGCAAACTGATACATATTTTCCTATAAATAAGTGTTATGGATGTATACAATTAAAAAAAAAAAACATTATCATTCTTGGTGTATTAAAATTAAAGTAAAATGTAAAATTAATATATTGAACTACTTGTGATCAATAAATTTTAAATATAAGAACGTACGAAGCTCTTTATCAAACAAATATTCTCCGTATAATAAAAACACAATCACGAATATTTGCGTGAATTTCGAAAATGCACGATTTATTTACTCAACTTTTTATATAATTTTATAAATGAACTATGAAGTATTTAATTATATAATCATAGCTCATAATGAATATAAAGTCTTTAAATGATTATTAACTCAGTTATTAATTTATTATTTATTGTAGTAATCATTATACAGATGACATTTGAATTATATTTAGAGGTTTTATCGCGATTGGTTAATTTTAAATTTGAATTTTAACGGTCATAATAATTAAATAACCGTTTTTCTTGACTGTTAACGTCTTGCTACAACAAAATAACAACGATTTTTAAAAGAATTAAACAGTTCTATTATTAGGAACACAAGCTATTTAACGTTAATTTATAAAATTGCTTAAAATTTATATTTTTATTTAAAGTTAGGAACACTTTAACTGTTCATTCAGAATTTTAGCAAGGTTCTATTCAAACTTTCTAGTAAATAATACTTAAATTTTAATTCCAACTTGTATTGATTAACTTTTGAATGCATAAATTATTATGAACGAAGCACTGCGGCAGAAAACACATTTATATTCAAGTAAAGTATAAACAGTAACTAATTATTTTTTGTTGCATTTTTTATCTTATAAATTCAGTTATGACATATTATTTAAATATTTTGCTTAATAATTAAGCTCGTAACCACATAATAGACGATATTATAGGTAAGGAAACTGCTCAGACAGTGTGTTTTCCTGTTACAGCATACAGTTATGGATTACAGAACTCTTACATAAGATATCTTCTGAAATTTTTATGAAGGTTTTATAAATTAAACCCTATAATTAAAGTGTAAAGATAATATTTATAAACTCGGACAATAGTTTCAGTAGTAATGGCGTGACTTCAGACACGTGGTGCTATAATAAAACCTTTATTCCTGAGTATTAACTGTAATCAAGTAATCGATAATGGCGTCAATCCATCACAAAATCACATGACTTCCGCGTGTTTCTCACTTCTTTCGTGCGCTGTCTGGCGGGAAGAATTCTTATAATAGATTTTGTATTGATCAAATGTTCACATCCTGGGAGAGTAAATAGATTTATCTTGGGGATCGAGAAATTGCAAGGGATTGTTTGAGAGCTGAGTAGACAAATGGATCATTATTATACAGTAAAATCTCGGTAATCCGAAATATATGGCACCGGAAAAGTGTCGGATTTAGGTGATTGCCGTTTTGTCATTCCCATCGCCGTCAATCAAGGTACCCAGTCAAGACGGATTTTCACTAAATTTAGTGGGAAAGTGAAGCAACCTTGGGATTCTTTAATGATTTAGAATATTTTTGAAAGACTGATTTTTATATTAATAACGCCTATGATGACGATCCTAACATCTTTAATTTCGTGCCAAAATGCAGAGACGATATCATGCCAAATTTTGTAAAAACTAAGGGTTTAAACTAGTGGGAAGCTTGTCTAGGATTTGGCAATACTCCCGGAAACAGTAACATTCACAGTTTATTAGAATCGGATTACTGCACGTAGGGAACTAGAGAACGGCCGGATTACAAACATTTCATTATATTTAAAAATTTACTATTTCAAATGTCTTATATATAGGGCCTATATATATACTAATAAACTGTATTTCAAACCCTTAGTTCCCACTAAATGTGACCGTTTATAGTTAAAAAATTATTTAATACTAACGTCAGCATTTATTTGTATTTACGGAGGTGATGACAGTGTAAGATTAGAAAAAAAGATAAATGACACATCAATAATTTATTTATTTAGCACGACAAATCGTTTTATAAACTAAATTAGTTCATTATCATAAACTAAAATACTGTCTTTAAATAACAATAAAATAAATTCTCTGATATAACAGATAATTGTTCGTTATATCGGAATTTATTAACATTTTAATTGGAATTATGTATAATTGGAGGTTATGAGAACGGTCAATAGGCGCCTTATTATTTTTATTGTATTTAAGGAATAAGTTCGGTCTGTGCCGTGTTTGTAGAGAAGAACAAACCCTTTACAAATTTCTTGTCGGTATCTAAAAGCTCGATTTATTTTTCTTTCGATCTGAAAATTAACTATTCTAATTATTGGTAGGGTAAAGACATCTTTCTCAACGAGAGGTTTCTTTAGGTAGGATACTGCAATGCAACTTTTTGGAGATCTTTCGAGGGTTCTACGTGAATTTGGCTCTATTTGGGTGCTATATACGGGCAAAAAATCCGGAAAACTGCAAGTTATCACTCTGCTGTCAGGAGCGAACACGCGACCAGTGTTAAGTTCTTTTATCCAGTCGAACACTGGTGGACGACATCGAGAGGAAAATTCATGTCGTGCTTAAATATTTTAACAAATTTTCTTGGTGTAAATACAAATATATTATTTTATTGCTAATATATCTGATGTTAATAGAATATAATGCTGTGTATAATTCCTTTTTACAGTGACGAGATTAGCCAAAGAACATGGGCTAAATTAATTCCAGATGATTACGATAAGTATCACGCCCCTTCTTCTGAGAATGGTAAGGTCATTTTAATAATATTCCGTTAATGTATTGTTTATTAAAGGGGTCGTAAGAAGACCTATAAATTATAATTATAATTAAATGTAGTGAATTAAGTCAATGTATACATTTTTTTATGTGATAATTATTCTAGGAGGACCAGTTACTGTATACGTTAACCTTCAAATTATGGATATTGATGAAATAAGAGAAGCGACGATGGTAATTATTTTTTTATTATGCCCTAAACTTGTAAATTTGTTTTAAGATTTTGAAAATTAAGGTTATAACTTTCTTTATCTTGAAATGTATCAATAATGCAGTCTAGCATCTGTAATTGCTTTTTCTAAAATTACATTTACAACCGAAACATCCTTTAAATTTAATTCCAATCATAATCTAAGTTAAATTTCAAGGATGATTTAATGGTAAAGATAACGCTTAACAGGGTGGTTGGGTGGCTGACATGATTAAAACATCAGAGGGCATCAATCGAATCCAGGTTAGCAACTCCCCAGGATTTTTCACGAGTGGTCCATTTTGGGTATGATGGGCTCCTCCTTCACTACAAGGCCGCCTTTATTGTGGGCTTGGTTTAACCCACGATGGATATGGTTAAAAGTTCTCTTATACAGAAAAAATTTATAAAATGCCTGACGTAACATCTTCACTACAATGCACATGATCTTCAGTGAAGCATCTCTTTATTCTCTGGTTTTCTCAAATTTTTACAATGGATTTTAAGAAGGTTGTTGTTGTGACAATCATACAAATTTTACATAATTAATGAAGAAATTTATATACTTTTATTATTAAAACGAGAGCAATAAAGTTAAAATTCAGATCGACTTCACTGCGAGTTCCTGAATTTATATCTTTACTATGAGTTATGTGTTTTACAGTGAAACTTTATTGCAAACAAACAATTTAATTATTCCCATAGAATTATGTTTACAAGTAAAATTTCCAAAATAAATAATGAATTCAATCTATAGATATAAACTTTACTAGAATAATTCTTACTAAGTTTAGCTCTTGCAGGATTTTCGAATTCACTTATATATGACCGAATATTGGAAGGATCCAAGATTGAACATTCACAAACTTAATTTAACATCAACAAGAATTTTGCCACAGAATTACATAAACGAAATATGGTTACCCGATTTAGTTTTTGACAATAGTAAATGGGCTCAACTCTTTCAGTTTTCGCTTCCAAACATTGTTATTAAAATAAGGAAGGATCATACAATTTATAAAGTTACGAGGTATGAATTATTGTTATCATTTTCATTATCATTATTGTGAGTTATAGTTGTAAGCATTAAAACCCTACGAATTTCTTACTGTTTCTTTTACAGATATAGCTTTCAAGTGGCTTGCAAAATGGAAATGGAAGATTACCCTATGGATATCCAGTTTTGTTGTTTCAAGATTGCATTTTGTAAGGCTTACAACTTTCGTGTGAATTATATATTCAAGTTATTTTTAAATCATTTGATTCTTAAATTTAGTGGCGAATTCTGAAGAAACGGCAACTCTAGCTTGGTCAGGAGAAGAAGGAAGTATTTATAAAAGTCTTGGGGATAGTGTTATTTTAATTGATGAAATTGAACCATTAAAGTATGAAATGATAAAGCCAACGCCTTTTAAAGTAACAGAATCATGGGTCGATGGTACGAATAATTACAATAAAACCAAATTTTGTCCATAGATTTCTTAACCATTTCTATTTTTCCAGGTAATTTCTCATATTTAATTTGCAATTTCACTTTCGTCCGCCGATTAACTAGCAGCATTCTTAATGTGTACGTTCCGAGTGCTTTAGTTGTTACGCTTTCCTGGTTGTCCTTTTGGTTGGATGTGAGTGCAGTGCCTGCTAGAATTACCCTTGGCGTTACGTCCATTCTTACAATTATCACTCAAGTAGTCCAGTCGAGATCGTATACACCACCTGTAAGCTACATAAAAGCCTTGGATATATGGCTGTTCTTCTGTACCTTCTTTGTTACTGCATCTCTATTAGAATATGCTGTTGCTTATCAGTTCAAGGAACCGAAGACTAAAGTAAATTTGCTTTATTTTTATTACTTTCATTTATTATCCTTCTTCGAATATTTTTATGCATAACTCCCGGGGAAGAGAGACATGCAAAGCTTGGAAATTCCAGTCTTTCCATCATGCTCAGTACTCTTTGGCAGTTATTTTCAAATCTTTCATCTACTTTTTCTCCTGTCTACAGGATAACCTTCCTGTTTCCTTTTCTGTTGTAAAATATTTTTGTCAACAAAAGTCCATGCTCCTGTCCAGATCTCAAGCTTCCCTTTCACAGTAACTGAGTGGATAAAACACTGAACAATGAGGTCGCGGGTTTGCCCCTTACCAACGAGCTAACAACACGAAAGTTTCTAGATTTTTTGTTTTCAATACGTAACTAAGGGCCAGTATTGTCCCGTAGAAAGTGCCTGTGGACCTGTTCTAGCCTCTTGTGCTCTATTATTTATAATTTTCAATGGGGCCTTCATTGTTGGTAGGCATCCCCTTTGACAGATCGCCATTGTTTACCTATCCTATTCTATTCTTCCCGTCTTCTCAGATTCCCCGACATTTATTTCTTCCATTTTCTTTCTTCTTTTACAATTTAAACACTTGAAAATATTTTTTTGTCTTCCTCTCTTTGTACTCATAGTTAGGGGAGATCGGGGCAACTTCGGCATGCGGGGCAAGTTTGTCAAGCGCTTTTTTTAAAAAACAAATTAAAAGGAGACTTTGGTTATAGGTTAGGCAGTTGAGTTTTATTGGTGGCTTGTTGAGTGTAGTGTTTTTATTGTTCTCCAACAAGCGTAGTTGAATTATCAAGCAAATTTTCATTTTCGTTCAATTCCATATAATATTTTTTTTCCATTTATATTGAATTGGCAGGTTTTGTTATAATTCCATGATAACGAAAGTTACTTTTCCTGTTAGAAGGATGTAACTTCAACTTATTCACGTGGCCAGATCGTGGCTTGGCATTCTGTTCTCAGGGTTGTACTTAATGTTTCGAAATCATGACTAGCGGGGTAAGATCGGCAACATAAAGCCACATTAGAAGCAAAGGATAAAAATCAAACAGATGATAAATGAAAACATGTTTGCATTTGTTATTCATGTATATATGTCTTTGAACTTGCATTTCGTTGTAATAATATTAAATGGGTGTTGGATTTGTATTTCTTTGTTTTAATAGTGAATTCCAACTTATACATTGTTAATAACATAATTTTATATACGTGCCTATCTTGCCCCATTACTGTTGCCCCTATACCAGGGGCAACTTTAATAAAAATAATTAAAATAATTACAACTTTACAAAAAGAGAGAAGTTGCCGATCTTGCCCCTATACCCGGGGCAACTTCGTCAATTTCTCTCTTCTTGTAAAGTTGTAATTATTTTAATTATTTTTATTTCCAAACTGATTTTAACCAGTTCTATAGTAAGGTAACATTCCAATAGACAATATGCAAAGGCTTTTTTTTCAGTTTACAGCAGTATTTATTACACAAAATTTAAGTAAAGCTTAACATGCCGATCTTGCCCCGATCTCCCCTAAATAATATAATTACATAAAAAATTACAAAAGTACAAACTTGAAGATACTACAAGCTAATTAATATTATTTTTTCTTCAGAGCGTGTCAGAGGAAACAAAACCTCAATCAGAAAAATGGGCAATACGTTGTAAGGAATGCCAAAAAGAATTAAGAGAGAAGCTAAAGAAGAAACCAAAACGTTCATTTTGGAAAGTGTTCAAACCAAAAGATACGACAAATCGCTTCGATTATTATTCTAGGTTCATATTTCCATTTATGTTTTTACTTTTTTGTATTAATTACTGGATGCATTACTTGCAAGATCGTGCTGAACATTTAGAAAGAAACTATTAATTAAAATTATTTTAATAAAAATGAAATACTTAATGGAACAGTGTTAAACATTTTGTATATTAATTGTTAATGCTAGACATTAATCTGTGTTTGATATGATCGATAAAAATGAATAAATAAAATTAGTCAATACATTGCACTGTACAGTACATGTCACCCATTTTCTCTGATAATAAAGACTTTTTTAATTAAAGCACATTTAATCTTTATAAATAAGATCTAAGGAGGTCAGCAGATAAAGATTTTTTAAACTGAAACGCGAGTAGATGCCCCTGACAATTATTAAATGGCACACTTTTGTCGAAGAACAATGTCGCGTTATTTCGAATAGAAAGTGAGTAAACTCCATTTTACTTTGGCAATATGGCTGATTACAGCATGATGTATATATACAACAGACCACTCGGTTATTCGTAATCATATTAATGTAGATGCTATGTCTACCAACGAACTATTAAGTAATTGATGAGTTGGCACCCATTGACAAACTCAACCCTCGAGAGGAGGCACCTCGCAAAGGCGCGTTATCCTGTAGGCAAAAAGGACTACTGCCTGGGGCCCCCAATAACAAGGGGGCCCAACCAATCTTTTATAAATTCGTTATTGTACTAAGAATATTGAATTTTAAATTTGTTATTACATTTTCAATTTAAGTCGACAGATGGCGACATACTCGAAAACTTAATAGCAAGGTCTATATAAGAAGGTCAGGATACGCTCCCGTGATTCTATGCGGCAGCGGCCATTTTGGGACTTATCGATAGGCTCCACTCCATACGTAGTTCCTGCGTGAGTCCACTATTATTACGTATATAAATACTCAAACCTTTAAACAATGGGTTATTGTGTGGCACCAAATTGTAAAAGTAAATCTACAGACGTTCGATTGTTTAGATTTCCCGCAAATAAGTGGAGGAAAGCAAAATGTAGCGTAGACATCAACAGATAGTTCATGATGCAGTTAAAAGAGTTTATATGTGTATAGTTTGTAACAAGTGGTTTAAACGAGTGGATACTCTTCGTGTCCATGAACGAACTATACATGGAAATTTATAAATGATACTGGCAATCCAGATATTAAAAAAATGTAATTTTTTTAATATTATTTTTAAATTTTATTATTAATGCAGAACATGTAAACAAAAAAATTATGCACAAACAACGTTAAATTGATACTTTTTGTTTTATTTAATTAAAGTAAAATTGAATATTTAATTCTAAAAAAGAAAATTTTAGCATTATTTTGCCATGGCAACAAATATTCATATTTTGTTTGAATACATTGTATTCAACCAACAGACTGCCGAAAATCTATCGGGCTAGTTTTATGCTAATTATTAAATAAATTACGTAATCAATTTGGTACTAGAGGTAAGCGTTAGGCGCCATCTCTTATTAATATTAATAATTATAAATAATTTTAATTAATTTAAATAATTTGGAACCGCTGGGAGAAAAAATCGGCCCGGAGCGGGACTCGAACCCACAACTCCTGCTTACCGTGCAGATGCGTTGCCAGTTACGCTACCCGGACCTCCGATCCGATCTCCTCTTCCAGCGTATATAATCTAACTACTTAACCATCGACGGTTATTACAACGCCGGCTGGGGACACATTCAGTGCCCACGTCCTACTTCCCATAAGGCTCTCAACCGGCCATCGCAAGCCCCGGCAAGGCGTAATATATATACAAACATCTCCAACCCGATATATAATATAGCTACAACCAACAGACTGCCGAAAATCTATCGGGCTAGTTTTATGCTAATTATTAAATAAATTACGTAATCAATTTGGTACTAGAGGTAAGCGTTAGGCGCCATCTCTTATTAATATTAATAATTATAAATAATTTTTAATTAATTTAAATAATTTGGAACCGCTGGGAGAAAAAACCGCTTTTTCTCCCAGCAATTCAAAAATAGTGCCATCTAGTATTAATTTTTAAAACATTTTTTTCGGTATTATACACTGTTTATATTCCAAAAAAACATGCTTTTTTTCGAATAAAAATTATAATTAAACAGATAATTTTGCGTTCCTTTGTAAAAACAATTACAATAAAACCTGACTGCACCACTTTCTCAACCCTCGATACCAAGTTAAAGTTACGTGTAGCATTAACTGTTACAAGACTTTATTAAAAATTAGTTTTTATATTATTAATTAATTATTATAAAACCCCAAAAGGCTTGTTTTTCGAGGTAAAAGTGAGTATTTAAAGAGATTGTAAAGGATGTGTATAAGTTAATTTGACTCTGACTTTACTCGACATACCTCACACTACTACCCTATATCTCCTCAAGCTCTTGACTTTCATCTACGAAAATTTAACTGCATTAATACCCCACGTGTAGAAATAAAACTTCCATGTTTCAAAAGTTTTGGTTCATCGAGTCTTCAAATAATGCAAAATAGATGCCAACACACACACACACACAAGCAACGCACACAGAAAATTTAGTATTGTTTATTTCACATTTTTGGGCTCCTAGAGTGTCAAAACGTCAAAAAAATGTAATGCAAAAACACAGAGAGAGGGTAAACATTCGAGTCATTAATTTATCTACTTTCTCTACATTATACTCTATGACAGCCAGGAAAATATAAAACTTACACTTTCCTGGCTGTCATAAAACATAAAGTAAATTATCAATTAATTTGCAATTTTTCTGCACAAACAATTAAAATATACGCGGGGATATAAGAAGAAGGAATGGTTTATTAATTGCAATGACTTTTACAAATGTTTCCGTTCACAATACCTTTTATTCTTTTTAAATTTGCGTGTGTATCAATTGGGTGTCACGATATCGTGTCTTTCTCGGCACTCACGCGAGAAAACTCTTTTATAACTCACTTTATGTAACGTTTTTAAGTGGATAAACACAGAAATAGGCTTTAGAACTATTGTGTTTTTTTAGTCTGTCATACAAAACATTAAAAATACGTTACATAAATGATACATATTTAATTTTATAAATGAATTCATTATTTTTTATTCGAAAAGTTATTAAATTCTTTAACGTTTTAATTAAATCCTTCCTATTTATTTCCTTATATTTTTGCTTAAAATTTGAGTTATATAGGATAGCCCAAAACTCAATTAACTACTGTATAATTGCAAAAGCATTATTCCTAAGTCTAGTTTATACAGTATGATTAAACGACTTTTAGACCATACAGTATTCGTACTCTTCACTCAATATCGGAAGATAATCAGTAAACATGACTTTAAATAAGGAATTTAACATAAAACATGGCGTACAACAGACCTATACGCTACACTACTAATACACAACTACACAAGTCTACGCATCAGACTAACATACTGCATTAGGTGTGTTACACACACACCTAATGCAGTGTGAACCCTTCTAAATGATGCCATCCACATAAATTGAAAAATACTTTAAACAGATCTTAGAGTAAATGTTATACAGCCGTAATTATTTTACATGATATTAATTAAATAGATTATACACGAGCTTGAATATTAAACCAATTTGACGTGCAGGTAACAACTACACAATCGAATAACGCATCTATTATTATATTTAAAATTCAGGTAGATAAACACTATTATTATCTGTGAACGTATAATTTTACTGTCGATCGATACGGTTTTCTAAACAATAAACAGCCTCTGGCTTATTTACATTCTATAGAAGTAGATATTGATGTAAGTGACGATCGTTGTCTATTTTAAATGGCTGAAAGAGTGACGATAATCAACTCGTATTTACTTTACGTCTTGTTTAATTTAGTAGAAATTTCTTTATGGTAAGAGCTTGTAATTTAATTTTTATGTTAAATGATACTTTCACTAGTAATTAAGGTATACTTAACTAAGTCTAGGTTAACAGTAGACAGATAGATAAGTTATGTATAATTTTCTTAGTAATACTAGATTATGTGGTTTAAAACAGTCAAAAATTAAATTTTAAGTGATTTTTCGAGTAAAAAATGGAGAGTCTTCGAATATTTACAGGATGTTTTAAATCTAACGAGTAATTGAAGATTCTTTAATGGTTTACTAACATATGCCTCAAACTTGCGCCCCTAAGACCTAGTGGGTCTAATGAAAAATCCTCCACTGATGATGATTATTAATAGAGATAATGTCTGTCGGTTCGTTATACTGTGTGGTGTCAATCTACTTCAGTTTAACTACTTTTTTTCACACCAGGCTCACCCATAATGGGAAGAATTGCAGGCAGCTAAGCCCTTCTTCTTAATGTTTAATGCGTGTGTATATTAATCACTGCTTTCAACATTTATATCAAATTGAAAGATAAATATTTGGGATTTCGATAACACTCCCGGATAAAAGGCCAACTCATTTAAAATAAACCAAAATTCACCTTCCACTGCAAACTTCAAGTTCCATATGATAATTTTTTCGATCATTTCTCGTTTAATAAATTACAAAATTTGGGTATCTACACTTATTAACAAAGGCCAACACGATTAATATGAATTGAATACAGCTAATAAAATAGAACATAGGGACGAGTTAAAACTTGTTATGACAAGTTTTAACTCGTCCCTATGTTCTATTTTATCGAGAACCTTTTACTCGTTTACTAAAAGCCTTTTCTCCGAAGTATAAAGCAATCATTACTCATAAGAAACGTATTATTTGTAAAAATTAAAATCTGTGGAAAGGAATAGAAACACGACAAAAATTATTTGTCTTGGAAATAATTCTTAATAGGTTTATTGTTTATTTAATACTAATTATTTCATTGTATATTTAAAGAATTTCGCTCAAACATAACGTTAAAAGTCTCGAAATATAGAAGGATTAGTAAAAGAAATCTTAGAATATAAATTCGATTATAATACCTTAAACGTAACGTAAAAAAATATTATTAAGTAGAAGAAACACAAGCTTGCTTCTTC